CTCTCTCTCTCTCTCTCTCTCCCTCCCTCCCCTTCCCTCCCTCCCTTCTTTCTTTTTCTTTCTTTCTCTCTCTCTTTCTTTCTTCTTTTCTTTCTTTTCTTTTCTTTCTGAGACAGGGTTTCTCTATGTAGCCCTGGCTTCTTGGAACTCACTCTATAGACCAGGCTGGCCTTGAACTCAACAGCGATCTGCCTGCCTCTGCCTCCTGAGTGCTGGGATTAAAGGTGTATACCACTGCCCCCCGGCTTTATGCCTTCTAATTATGTTTTATTATTATTATTATTATTATTATTGCTCAAAGCATCTGAGCACATTATCCTATAGATTTTTGGATTTTAGCACATTATCCTATAGATTCTGAAGACTTTAAATGCCTTCTAAGATGTAATCTACATTAAAGGGCTCACCTGCTCAAAGTGCCAGACTGTTTCTGTTCACGGGCAGATGACTCCATCAGGGTTAGCAAGAATAATTTCCAAAGCATTCAAGGAGTTGGAACAGTGGCTTCCGAACATCAGAGCATCTAAGAAGTACTGTAGTGACTGTTCGTTAAGACGTCAAACTGCCTGTCTCACCCAACCAACAGTGGCCGCAGAGCCCCTGGCGTCAGCCCGGTGACCACTGGCATGGTGCCTCTGTCATTGTTAATCCAGAGCATGTTTGGAGACGTCCGATCTAGGACCTGGGTCTGTGCTTGCCAACGGTATTCATAAAAAGTGCCCTGGCCATCCACAGAGGACAGAACAGGCCCCTGTTCCCGCCACTGTGCCCACGGCTCTGAGGCTAAGGGCCATTGAGTTATTTTATGTAGAATCTTCAATGTCTGGAAAGAGTTTGGTTAGAGGCGCCAAGTCGGCAACCACGACTACACAAGAAGTTGGCACAACCCAGACAGGTACAGAAGACTGAATTGCATGGACCTAGTTACCTCAGGGCCAGGTCTACAGGGTCACTGGGCTGCAGCAATCTTTTTAACACGGTGTGCGTGCGTGCGTGCGTGCGTGCGTGTGTACACATGCGTGCGTGTAGGGTGCTACAGAACATCACCCACTCATGGAGACCAAAGCAGGGCATCCTCCAGAGTGTCCTCCTTTATTACTCTCCACATTATTCTTTTGAGGCAGGGTCTCTCCATAAACCTAAACCTCGTTGTTTTCAGCTAGACTTGCAGGCAGCAAGCCCAGCAACCTTCCTGTCTCTACCCCTCACATCCCTGGGGTTACAGGGTTCCAAACTCAGGTCCCCGTGGTTGTGCAAAAAGCACTTTTAACCACTGAGCCATCTGTCAGTCCATTGTGGAGTTTTTAATCACCGAGTAGAACTTGGTTCAGTTATATGGGTGAATCATGAATTGAATTAGGTTCTTTTTTTCAAAACAAAGTGGAAATTTGTGTTTCAGAGCTGATATGCTGTGGGCATCACATGAGAGCCTTGAAGATTTTATGTGGGACTTCTCAGAACTGAGCTGTGAGCTCAGTTTGCTCAGGTGATGGTCTATGAGATCCTTGAAGGTTTTATGTGGGACTTCTCAGAACTGAGCTGTGAGCTCAGTTTGCTCGGGTGATGGTCAAGTGTCTTTCTCTGAGTGCATGTGTGTGTCTGGGTCTATGATCCTACCCAGATAGGTCTTTCAGCCCAAGCTAACATAGTTCCCATGATCATCGCTTGTATCTGGGTTTTTGTTGTTGTTGTTTTGTCTGTTTGGGTTTGTTTGTTTGTTTGTTTGTTTGTTTGTTTGAGACAGGGTATCTGTGTCTCTCTGGCTGTCCTGGAACTCACTCTGTAGACCAGGCTGGCCTCAAAGTAGAGATCCACCTGCCTCTACCTCTTAAGTGCTGGGATTAAAGGTGTACGCCATCACCACCACCAACACCACCACCTCCACCACCACCACCACCACCACCACCGGGCTTTGTTTTGTATTTCTGTGACAGGCTTTCACAGTATAGTCCTGATTGTCCTGAAACGCTCCATGTGGACGTCTATGTAGGCTGGCCTCAACCTCACAGACATTTGCCTTCCTCTGCCTCTCTGCCTCTGCCATGCTGGAATAAGAGGGGTGTGCCACCATGCCCAGTGATAAAATCCTTAATCTTAAATCATGCGTAGGATTCACTCTCTGCTCTGTCATCTTTGAACAGTGCTTTGCAGACAACTCCATCTGCACCGACAGGCCCATTTCTAATCCATCGCGCCTCTCAAACCTCTGCTGAGTTTATTGCCATTCTTGTTGGAGTCCACGATGACATCATGCTGAATTGGCTTTTTTTTAAAAGTGTGTGTGTGTGGCGCATGCCAGCTCACATGTGGCGATCAGAGGACAATGTACAGGAATCAGTCCTCTCCCTCCATTGTGTGGGTCTCAGGGATCAAACCTGGACTGTAGGACTTTGCAGCAAGCACCATTTACCAACTGAGCCACCTCACTGGCCCTGAAGTGGTGAAGTGGCTTTTTAAAAAAATATATTTATTTTTATCTTATGTGTATGGAAAATTTTTACCTGCGTGTATGTCTGTGTACCATATGCAAGCAGTAGCCAGAAAAGGGGATCAGACCCCCTGGAATTAGAGTTACGGGTGGTTGTGAGTCGCAGTGTAGGCGATGGGAACTGAACTTGGGTCCTCTGGAAGAGCAGCCAGGGCTCTTCCGGCTGAGCCATCTCACTGGCCCTGAGCTGGCCTTTAAGAGTTTACTTTAGACATGTCCACTGAGCCTCGAGCTGAAAGAGTCCACGAGGGTAAAGGCACAGCTGTGCCCTGCCCTTCAGGAACTCACCGTCTCCTGGAGGGCCAGGCAGATGTTCAAGGGAGGACTAGCGCTGTCCAGGTGCAGATGCAAATGAGCGGTGGAGGTAACCCCGAGTGCGGGGTGAGAGCGCACTGGACTGACGCTTCAGAGAATGACTCCAGACAAACCGTTCCCTTGGGCTGGAAAGAGAACTGAGCTCTTTTCCAGGAGCGTTACACATCCTGGGATCTCGGGACAAGGCTTGGTGAGGGAAGGAATGGAGGAGACGGAAAGGGAGGCGGGGCTAGTCCGCTCAGGGTGGCTGGTTTTTTTGTTTGTTTGTTTGTTTGTTTTTTCTTTCTTTTTTTTCCTAGACAGGGTTTCTCCATGTTGTTTTGGTGACTGCCCTGGATCTCGCTCTGTAGCCCAGGCTGGCCTCGAACTCACAGAGATCCACCTGACTCTGCTGGGATTAAAGGCGTGCACCACCACCGCCCGGCTACAGGGGGGCTGTTCTTTCTTTCCTTGATTTAAAGCTGCGCTGTGTGAGGGCCGAAGACATAACTCAGTGGTAGACCACTTGCCTAGCTCAAGGCCCTGGGTTCCATCTCCAGCACCACTAGAGTTAATAAAGCTATGTTCTCTCTCTAGATCCGAGGACACTGGCCCGACTAACTTGTGCTTACTGACTGACTTTGCCTTGTCTTTGCTTGGGTCCCGAGACCCAGGATCGGGCTGTCATCTGGGGGTGGCTGGACTTGAATGGTTAGAAAGGATCTGCCACACCAAGATACCTTTTCCGTCCTTTTTCCACAGTGGGACCCTGAAGATGTCAACCTTGAAAGGAACAAGGACAACGTGGGGCTCCTTAGATCACAGATGCACAGGGGCTCTCTGAGCCCAGTGGACTTGACCTCCGATGACTGACATCTCCAGGAGCCAGTCCGTCAGTGCGGAACTCAAGGTCAGGCATCGGTCAGTGACAAGATGGGGACCAACCTACAGTGCCACTCATGGCAGACGTGGAAGCTGCTGAAGAGGCTTCCCTAGGAGTGAGGAACCCCGAGCGGTCACTTCGCTTGGCTAGTCTACCCCACGGCTCAACATGGAGCTAAGGCTGTGGGGTCTGTGGACAGATCTGCACGTGCCAAGTTGACCCTCATGATGAGAAGTTCACAGAGGAACCCCCGTATGTAAAGATAAGCTTTCTCCCAAAGGACATGGGATCTGTTCCCATGAGATTCAAGCATAGATATTGTTTGCTTAATAACAGGATCGAACTCACCAAGAGCTACTATTTGGGTCTCAACAGAACGCATCCTTCAAGACTCAAGTCAGCCCAGATGAAAGAGCGCGTCCGTCAGCTAGGGGACCTGGGCACAAGAACTAACATAACGGCCGCACCTTATGTAAGACTGCCTGGTCAGCCGAATATTTGGAAGATCGCTGGGAGGGCAAGGGTAATCGATAACTGATCTTGGTAACAGGATTCCCTCCAGCTTGGCAGAGTATGTGCCGAGGCTGGGTTTGCACATTATGGTGTCGTCCGTGCTCTAGGAGGTAACAGAAAGCGTGCCAAGGATAAGGGCACAATGCAAAGTATGACTTCAAGTATGGCCAGGCGGTCGGAGGATGATCTCAATACTGTGACCACGAGTGAGGGGAAGAATGGAGGGGACGGGGCCAGCCAGGAGCAAACGCTGGAGTGAATAAAATGTGTGTGAATGCATTAAAACATCTCACGGTGGAGCGCAGGGAAAAGTCGTCTGTCACAAGGGGAACTGGGAAAATGCCAAGACACACACAGCTCTGCTCCGAGCTGGTCCGTGACCACCTGTGACTCAGCCGCAACGGCCCAGTTTCTCTTAGGGGCGCTGCAAGTCCCAGCAGTGTGAAGAATGGGGTGCCGTGGAAGCTGGTTGGTTGTGCGGGTTTCTGCGTCGTGCCCAATCCCCTGGGTGACCTCTAAACTAGCATTCAAAGCCACTTTATCTGCTTGGAGTCCTTGATTTTCCTGTGAGGGAGCTTGCCGAGGTCAGCTTTGCTTTGGAGTCGTCACCACTGAAACCACTCTGAGGGGAGAGGACCATGGGATGGGGAGAAGTGGAACATTCCAGCCCAGATCATAGCAAACTCAAGGCAGGGAAGGTTGAGATCTCTTGTAAAATATTAAACAGACCAGCCTCAATATTATACTTCCCAGGGGCTCAGAAGAGAAAACTACGAACAGCAAGAATTATTTTCAGGAAAAGAATCTAAGTACACCGAGCTCTTAGTCCAATCATTTATTCTTCCAAGTCCTCTTCTCTGTCCTCCCGTGCCCTGGGAGTCCCAGTATATATACATTTACAAGCAGTATTCCCTTGGCAGTGCAAAGCCAGGCTTCCAGGGTCAAACAGAGAGGTGATAAGAATCACACAGAGGGGCAATAATTGTTAATTATCATTTGCAACCCAAAGGGGAAGTGACTAATGGGGAAATGAATTAACTAAGGGCTAAATTCGGGTAATATCTAAGAAGAGGGATCTTATGTGCTCAACTATAATCTTAAACGTGATCGGAAGGAAATGTTAAGAATCTATAAGTCACTAGATCAATGGGAGAAAATAAAACTGCCTTCTTTTTTCCTGTGGCTCCTATCTGTCCAAGCTATCTGCCGTTTTTCTGCAGGGTGGGGGAAAGTGTGCTTGGTCGCTAAGCAACCTGTGTACAGCTAGATGCCTCTGGTGATAGTTAAAGTGAGGTCTGGAACTAGAGGGAAGATTTAGAAAAGGAGAAAGTTAAGCTTAATTAGCACATCCGCCAGGCCTTCTCAAACAGGTAGCCTGGACGCTTAAGTCTGTTCTTAGAGAATACAGAGGTATCTCTGATAAGGTACTTTCCTCCGTCTGGGGATGGACCTGGCCGGATGCTGCCAATGATGATAATTACAGGGAGGTTTGAACTGGGAGTTCTGGCTGAGCATAGCTGTCAGCTCAGAAGGTTATCCAAATATTCCTAGAAGTGGTTAGGTAAGGAGTTAGCGGTCTATAAAGTTAGTAAGGCTGTAAGAAAAGGAGGGTCCAAGCTGAATTGTGTGAAGCCATTAGGTCCACCTGACCTAGGCGGTGTCTGGTGTCTCCGTGTGGAATTTACCTTAATTTGGGAGACTTATTATGTGGTGGTTTGGACTGTTATTCCTGTTAGTCCTTGAATGTGGCTAAGGGAGATATCTGATTCCAGCACTGAAAGGGGAAGAAACGGATGGACCTGAGGGAAGGAAGTCTTTCCTGAGGCTGTTCTCCAAATACCACGAATGTATATATCCAAATAGTGATCAGTCCACACTGTTAGCCCTTCTTAGGGAAAAATCAGTTGGGAAAGCTATGAAGGCACACGATTTTCATAACAGAAGACAGCTGATATATAACCTGCCAGATAACACCAAAAACTCCTTGGAATTTGGCTCCCTCTGAAGGAATTCCTTGATCCCTCCAGGTAGTGACTTTGCCATAACCAGCTGAGTTCTTATAATATATTCCTGCGGCCTGTAGCAGAGATCTAGTCAAGGAAGGAGAAACCTGACGTGGCCAGGAGAGAGCTGGAAAAGAACCCGGCTATGGAGACTAGGAAGGTAGTACTGAATGTCGTGGCCATGCAAGACACCAAAGCAGGAAGGTGACTGACTTGTTCATATAGGCTACAATTAGTGAGCTTCTCATCCCTGACTTTTCATGAAGCAGAAATGTAGTCACGGGTACAGAGTAAACATGAGACACATGCTTGAAGTATATTCCTTTAAAAAAAAAAATCAGGGACTCTAAGAGGCCAAGATAACCTCAAAAATCATGACCCTCCTACCTACCCCAGTTTTCCAACTGCCGGGGGGATCACAGGCCCCAGCCACCATGCCCAGCCTTGCACTTTACAGATGAGGAACCGTGCTTAAAAACAGGGAGCAAAGTATCCGCCCCACAAGTAGAAGAGGCCATCACAACTGATTAATTTTTGTGTATTGCACCCGCACCAAGGAGCATGTACGGAGGTCAGCGACAATCTGCAGCTATCGGTTCTCTTCCCACGGCGTGGGTTCTGAGAATCGAGTCAGGTTTCAGTTTTAGCAGCAAGCAGCTTTACCCGTTACACCCCGCACCCCTGCTTAAATTCCACTCCCCATTTAAGATAATACTAGGGCTAAGATACAACTGAGTGGTAGAGTAAATGTTGGGAGGGCATTGAAAAAAAGGTCAAAACCTTCACAATCCTTTCAGAGTCCTCTGCACATTTCCCTCTTGCTCCTTCACATTTTGCAGCTTGTGCAGACATTAATCTATGTACTCTCCCACCCTCTCCTCTCCTCTTTTCTGAAGTTAAAAGGCCATGCATGGGCAGAGGAGGCTCTGCTTCCAAAAAAACAAAACCGGATACACTGTAGTGTTCAAGGACTCGTTAATTGGTGAGAAACGATCTCTGACAAGTTCAAGACTAGAGAATGCCTACTATGAGCAGGGACGGGTGGCACTGGCCTGTAATCCCAGTTATTCCAGGCCGAGACAAGAGGGTGGCAAGACCGCCAAGCTCCAGGCCAGCCTGGGTAATTATGCAAAACCCAGTCTCAAAAGTGAGAGGGTAATTTTTTTTTTTTTTTTTTTAAATTAAATGGGCTGGAGCTCAGAAGCAAAGCGCGTGCCTAACACACACAATGGCTCTGGTTTCAGTCCCCAAAAGTGCCGGACTGGGACGTTTAATCTGCTTTTTCTTTGCCTTAGTCTGACAGCCAAACACGGCACTGGGCATTTGGAAGTGCTGCTTCCGAGCAGGGTAGGTCGTTAAAACGCCTGGGTTCCTGCTCCGGTCGCACGGGAACCCTGCCGGCCGGCCGCGGCCAGCGCTGGAGTCGGAGGCCGGGGCATTGCTTCGTCTTCCCCGGGGTCTGGCTGCAGGGTCTGCTCTCTCCCTCGCGGGTCGCTGCCCTCTCTTTGCACTCCAAGGCTCACCCTCGACGGCCCTCGCGGGATAGCAAGGGGTGTCCTCCGGCAGCGGGGCAGCACGGAGCGGACCTGAACCCGGGTAACAACTCCACTTGGGGCCGTTGGCGCCACCGCGGGCACTTCCGGGAAGAAAGGCGCCGCAAGACCCGCGCATGCGCACCCTGCCGCCGCCTCGGCGAGCAGCGCAGGCTCCGCCCCGTGGGCTCCTGGCATTGCCTACTTGGGCACCGCTGACTTAAGTGTCTCCCCGCTGGGTTTTTAAAAGGTAGCTACAAGGCTATTCTGTCGTGCCTTTGCGACTGACTAACAGCCTGAAGCTGTACTGGAAGCATTCTACCCAAGTACATTCAACTTTAAAAACACAAAAACAAAAAAAGCGCAGGTGCATGATTTAACAAAAGAAAATCAGGTCGTGCCGGAGTTTATTAGGAAAACAACAGCGCCCTGCCCGCACCCAGCGGCCCCCTTTCAACTTCCCTTAGGTGTTTGGCTCTCGTGTCTTTGCACAATGTCAAAATTGAATGAGTAGCAGTGAATTCAAAACCTCCTTGGAAGTCGAGATTTCCCTTGGTAACAGACAATTGGCAAACACAAGTTCTTTTATTTTGACTTTAATTGCGAATACTAACTCTCAGATCACACACTGCACATCACCGTGTCATTGTATACCTGCTGTCTGTGTGGGAATCAGCACAGCTACAGCAGTGTTAAAGGGCCGGCAGAGTCGGGGCTTCGCTGGAGGCAGAGGCCGAGAGCTGCTACCGATGCAGAGTTATGGCGCGTGGTAGATAAATATACCCACAGTCCGACCGTGGCGCTAAAGGCAGAGAGAGCCAAGTCACAGGGTCGGTCACAAGGGACCAGCTTCACTGCAGAGGCTCAGAACGATGGAGGCGACCTGTAAGGACCTGATTTGGACAGATGGACAGGCAGACGATGGCAACTCCAGTAGAGGAGACTGAGCTAAGCTGAAACCTAGGAGCAGTCGAAAAGTGGATGGGGTCAGTGGTGTTGCCTATTGGCTGTCCTTTTAATGTAGTCTAGGTGAGGGTTTTGTTCATCTAGTGAGTCTGATAAGTTATTGGGCCTGGTTTTACTGATAAGGATTTAATGACACCCATGTGCTCTTCCATTCGTAACTTTGAAAAATGTGTGAGTGATGCATTTTTACTTTTAGGCATAAATTCTTGTAAATCTGTGCCTCATGGGTATTGCTGGACTCATGATGGTGTCCTCATGGACAACAAGGTTCAGAGTCGCCCTGCCTCTGCATATACATCCTTAGAATGGAGCCAAAGGATGCTTGAAAAATGGAGTTACGTAAGGCAAGGCCCAGCCTGCAAGCTGCTGTTTCTCGGACTACGGAGTGACCTGGAGCGAGGCACAGCGTGATCTCCACTCTTGGACCTTGTAGACAAGCACACCAGCAGTCAGCTTCATCCCCAGACTCCAACCTGCCTTCCGGCTACCAGTGCCAAGATTTGAACTAGCTTCTCCCCAGCTCCCACTGAGCAGAGGTTAGAGTCAGCAGTTAGACAGGGTCACTGGTAGACTGAGAAATGGAAAAAAAAAAAAAAAAAAACCATCCAGAGTCGTTGTGGAGACTTCAGACCAGGACCACCTGGATAGTCCCTAGCTAGACCTGGCTTCTGAGTTCCCAGGTCACAAGGGACCTGAGCCCTCTCCAGCTACTTGCAAACAAAAGGATCATATACATAAAATAAAAGTAAATAAATCTTTAAAAATTTTAAAATAAGGGCTGGAGAGATGGCTCAGCAGTCAAGAGCACTGGCTGCTCTTCCAGAGGTCCTGAGTTCAATTCCCAGCACCCACATGGTGGCTCACAGCCATCTATAGTGAGATCTGATGTCCTCTTCTGGCATAAAGGTGTGCATGCAGATGGAGTACTCGTACATTTCATACATTAAATAAATAATTAAATCTTTAAAAATGTAAATAAAACAAAAAAACCCAAAAAGTTAAAAACAATTCAACACAATGTCAAGAACGAGAGAG